AATCAGAGTATGTGTTTAATTAATGAATATGATAAATTGCCATATTCAATACAATATAAGCAGATAACGAGTTTTTTTTTTTTTTTTTTTTGAAAAGGGGGGGCGTACGCCCATTACGCCCTTACCTGGACCCGCCCCTGACTGATTTTACCTATTTCTGCCGTCACCATATTGGGATCGTCGTAATTCCAGTTACGATTATCAGTTTAACACCAGTGAAGATACTATAACTTCTTTGTAAACCGATCCAGCTCTAGTGTTTCCTGTCATGATTTCCTTGATGAAGGGTTGCTTCTACAGGGATGCTCTTGAACAAAGGGTTCCCTACGGTATAGCTGAAAACATTCCTTCAAAAGTTCGACTGACGCCATCATATATATATATATATATATATATATATATATATATGTTAAAATACATTTTTTCACTTTTCTGGTCTTTTGGAAAATGTTGTTTGTGCTGTATTTAGACCCCTCTACCAATAAATTTGTTTTGCATACACACGTACAAAAATTGCGGTTTTTAGCCAACGCAATCATAGGTTTGAACGTTGTTTTCAATTTAGACTTGTTTATATTTTTTCGTTTGGGCTTGTATTATATTTGCCTTCGGGTTTATATGATCCGTTCATCCTATTTCGACTCTTCAAAATTCAAGAGTCTATCCTAAATTGAGGTAAATCATATGGCCTTCCAAATACCGTTTGAACTTTCGATTCCTAACATCACTGAAGAGACATTAATTATTGAAATCAGGATATGGTGTACTAGTTTTTGCACCTTTTGTTTGCGGTATACCATCTTTTCCGCAAGTTTATTGTTTTCTGTTTGGTATTAAATTAGTAGTTAAGATCCATTTTGTTACATCTGGTGATCCATTTATTTGACAATCGCCAATGGCAGTCAGCAGGGTTTAAGAACATCCGTTGTTCGACCTGCCAGTCAAATGCGTTTTGTTAAAATATACTTTTTCACTTTTTTGGTCTTTTGGAAAATGTTGTTTGTGCTGTATTTAGACCCCTCTTCCAAGAAATTTGTTTTGCATGCACACGTTCAAAAATTGCGGTTTTTATCCAACGCAATCATAGGTTTGAACGTTGTTTTCAATTTAGACTTGTATATATATATATGTAAACAGTTTAGACAAAATTATCCCGTTTGTCACAACATATAACCCACGAGATTATGATATATTTAGTTTCATGCGACAAATAGAAAATAATTTACACAAAAGTGAAAAAATAGACAAAGTATTACAAAAAAAGAAGATTATCAACAGTAAAAGAAAGTCGAAAAGTCTAAAACGATATTTAACATCTTCAAAATTCGACTTTAATGAAACTTTGCCTATTGTTAGAAAATGTACCGATAAACGATGTATGACATGTCCAGATTTGATAGAAGAAAGTTCAATTTATTTCAAAAATGGAAAGCATTTCACAGTCAAACAAAATATGTCTTGTAAAAGTTCAAACGTCATTTATTCTCTCATATGTTCAAATTGTGAGGAATTTTATATTGGAGAGACAAAAACAGAACTGCTGACTAGAATGACTGTACATAGACAGCAAACCAACCATGAAGATTTAACAATCATCAGGGCTAACGACCATTTCCATCGTTGTTCTAATGGACGATTTAAAATATTTCCGTTGTATATGGTCAATCGTCAAAATGATTTTCTCCGGAAGAAGAAAGAAGAATTATTCATAAACATTCTCAACCCGGGATTAAATGATAAATAATATTTTAATTTTTATGAAACATTTTAAAGACTTTACTCCAATTTTAAAATGACATTAGTAGTCTCCCTTGTATTTGTTAACGTCATACTATTGTTAACGTCAATCAATTGTTTTATAACATTTACAGTTGGAAAGCAGGTCACGGTTTGACCCCAAGTCTATCAGCAACAATAGAATCACGTGACCGTGAAAATTCAGTAAATCTACGGATGAGACAAACCTCACTTTTACTCACTAAAATACCATTATCATGGTAAAAACTTATTGATCAAAATAATCCTGAATATACATAGTTTTAACTGGTCAAAACTTACACATCAACTCAAAGTCCTTTATTCTTTATTTTATCTTCAAACTTGAAGTTTGTGTGAAAATTGTCAAGGCTTCTGATCGAAAAATCTAAATATTTTCGAGGAAACTAAAAATGATGGGCTGAATTTAAATTTAATAAAGCATCTCATTAAGACAAACACTCGATATGAATATCTAGGCAATACAGTTTTGGATACGCAAACGTCAAGTTATGTTCAACACCAAGCGGTGTTTTTTTTTTTGCCGATTTGTGCAAGTGGTTATCTCCCCTTGATATCACCAGTCAAAAATAAAAACCCACCAAATGAATAAAAAGGAGTTTATTTTACAAAAATCAAGAAGAAAATAAAAGAAAGTCGATTAACAAACAACTACTAGTATGTTATTTTAATATTAAGAAGAGATACTTCCCTACTTTTCAGAGAAGGATTACAGGTAAAAATTAAAAGACAAAAAATTGGTAAAAATTAGATTTAGAAACCTAGCTGAATTGATATAAATTAGCTCTGGCTGATGAAATTTACTTTCAGTTTGCAATTTTTATAATGGTATATGGGATCACTTCTAATGGATTTTTTTTTAACTACTTCTAGCAATGTTTAAAGCAATAAAACATACTGTATACAATTTAAATAATCTTTCTGAAAAAAAAATAGTACTGACCATTTATATTTTATATTTTAATAAAGTGGAACCAAGAGTCAAAAGTTAGTTTCTTCAAAGTAAAAAAGCCTTTTAACTCAAGCCTATGTTTCTTAATTGAACAGTACAGTACTGCCTAGAAAATATCCTACAGAAAAAGGAAAAGTTTACCAAAAAATGACAAAAAATCTGTAAAAAAATAATGCTTAAAATTATAAGTAAAGGTGACATAATTTTGAATTTTAAAAAATTTTGAAAAATTCAACTATTAGATTAGCTAGCACAGTAGCCTTTGTCCAATTTCTCAGGGTATTTTATAGATTTTGAAAAAAAATGGGGCTTCTTCTCTTCAGGTTGCTGTATCTGCTGCTTTACATATTTATAAACAATGTATTGTATATTTTACCAGAATAATTGGATATTAATCTCAGAAATGAAAGTTGGTATGACAAATCTTGTGCATTTTACTTTAATAATGATCAATGATGATTAAATTTGACAAGAATTTGCCATTTGAATAAATTTAATTTTGTAAGTACACATCTCTATGGATTAATTTCTTGTTTGACTTGAAAAGCTAGTGTTTGCTCTCATTAATGTAGCTTACTCAGTAAAGAGATAATTAATAAGCAAGGTTTTTAACTTATAAAATATAAATATAATTAACTGACCTTCATTTCCTTTTTCATATGTTTTTTCCTCCAGAAATTTTCTTTGCAATGCATTTTCTATTGCTATTTTTGTGCTTTTGTTTATCCATAGGCCATCATTAATTTGTCATATTTGCTTCCAGTATAGATGAAATTTTCTTAGACCTATAGTTTCAAACGCCATAAAGAAGAAATTTGTTTGTTGTTTCACTTGTCCAATGTTTAAATTTTTACTATGCACATGACCCTGACACATATTTTGTAAACGTTATATGACGTATGTTGAAAAAGAAAACAATGTCACCGTCAATTTGTGTAGGGGATCAAAAAGGGTTTTAATTACTTTAAAATGGAGGTATCGTATGGAATTGTGAAAAACAGCAATTTTCAATCACAATTTCATTCATATCTATAATAAAATCAGTATTTAAGAGTACTTTGGAAACAGGTGCAATGAAAAGAAGTTGAACTTTACTGTTTTGAAGTAGAAACGAAGCCAAAACCAGGTACAAATTGACATGACTGGTGGTCACCAAAATTGATGCATAATAGTAAAAAATGATGGCTTTAAAATTGTGTAGAAATTTGAAATAGTTTACCCGGTTTCATTTAAGGTTATTACCGTTCTCTTCCGTATTTGGATACGCAAACGTCAAGTTATGAAAAATCGATGTTTTTGGCGAACAAAAAAGATGGCTGAAATTTTTTAGAACGGACAGGATAAAGAAATAGCAATAACAAGCTATTTTTGATAATGTTTGTATGACGTATTGAATCTATATTGGTCGCAAAACCTACAAATTTTAAAATTCAATTATAATAAAAGCATGACAAGTTGAAATAAATACTTTAAACGTCAATCTTTTACCCGATTGATTTGGCGGACTATTTGACGTCACGGACGACTGTAGCGCCATCTAATTAATTCCCCCTGCTATTGTTGCTGATAGAGCTTGACGACAACGGACGTTTCCAAGGACTTGCTTTCCAACTGTTTATGTATACAAGTCACATTACCTGAAGATCTGTGAAAGCAGTGAAAGCGCTATTAAAAGTGATGAATTGAAACCGTCATTATCTTATATTAATTTTCTTATATATGTATATATATAGTATAGTACCCTATGGTACTAGTCTTAGTTTGTTTAACACACAATTGAGGACACAAATCATTACGAGCAGATACTAAGAGATCTTTATAATTTGTATTACTTTAATTGTTGTCAAAAGAAATAACCTGTTGACACAGAGATATGTCTCGCCTGTATATAATTTTGTTAGTAAAATGCAAATGTTGAAATACAAAAGCAATACATTTATAACATGTAAATTATGCAAATTATTCAAAGTCAATCAACCATAACTGAGGGAGCAGGGTCAAATAATCTCCGTGAAAATGAGATGTGCCAATGCTTATACAACTATATACCAAATATCATCGATTTACCATTAGTGGTTCCCTTTAAAATGACCTAATAACAAACTTAAAAAAATTGTTGACGCCGCAGCCGACGCCATCCCTACCGGAAACGGCATACCTAAGTCTCGCTTTATGACTCCAAGGCGAGACGAAAAAAAGCACACACACCCACCCTCATATACAAGACTTAGAGTTACACGCACTGGTTAACTTAATAGTTGTTAATATCTACCTTTTTTCGCCAGACGTATAAATTCATGAAGGGCCTCAGCTGGGATATGACCGGGACAAAACGAACCGGAACACACTATACAATCGTATAAACCTGGAGTATAAATATTTTGTGATCAGTATGAAATAGTTTATAATTATAGATATTTTTATACAGTACGTTCAAAGTTTTCATCAAGAGAGGGATGCAATATTATGTTATATGTTTCTTACATGCAGAATAAGAATAATAAAATATGACAAAACCGAATAACGGCATTTAGTTGTATTTGACATTCCAACTTATAATGGTAAACATACATATATAAGTCTTTGACTACACGACATACAGTTGTTGAAATAATTGTTTACCTATAGTTGTTTACATCATTGCACTCTGCGTTTGTTTGTTGTTAGTTGTCTAAGTAGCGATCATATCACATCTACTTACTTTTATATATAAAATACTTAGGCGTCGCATCTTCAATTACTATAAATAATTTTGACTAAATCAAAGATTCCAAAAATTTAAGGCTAATTCGGTCGATGTTTTTTTTAAGATGGAGAAAATTTGGGTGGATGCCATTATTGGTGATCCATCGAAAGTGGTATCAATCTAGTGGTATAATAAAACACAATTCTGTGCGAGATCAGTGCTTCCTGAGAAACTGATAAAACTGTTATCTATATTTATAAATCAATTTTCCATAAATAGAGAATGAAAATATAGTGAACTAATTACCATTTGCCTTTTGAAAAGTTTCTTTAGTCAAGAATTCACAAATATAACTGCGGTACAGATTCTTTTCCTTTGCTTTCTCGAGCATTCCCTTTGATGGATCTAGTGCGTCGATCTTCTGGAAACCAGACTTCCGGAGCTAATACATAAAAACATTATAATAATAAATTATGGCTACATTAGTAATGTTCAAATCTCTGGAAACGCCTAATCAAGGTTACAGGCAGAAACTGGTGGAATCGTGTGAACTCCAATAGGAGCAAGACAGGATACTTTCTTTACGGAGCAAAGGGAAACCATTTAGAGCATACAAAACGAAAGTGCACCAATAAATCTTACGGAACAAAGTGAAAATCATTTAGAGCATACAAAACGAAAGTGCACCAATAAATCTTACGGAACAAAGTGAAAATCATTTAGAGCATACAAAACGAAAGTGCACCAATAAATCTTACGGAACAAAGTGAAAATCATTTGAGCACAATAACAAAAGGGCACAAATACATCTAAGCCCCCGTCACACTAGACCAAGACCATGAAGATCCCACTACGACCTATAAAAAAATAAGATCGCGGTGAGATCGTGGTATGGTCGGCTTCAATATTAAATATTTCATAGTTTTCACGTTCATACGACGACCTAGCTATGATCCTGATAAGATCCTGCTACGATTCCGCTACGATAGTAACACGTTCTAGCTACGATCTTGTCACGCTCTTGCTACGTCTAATAAGACCTTACCACGACTAACACGACCTCTGTACGCTTCTACCAAGACATTCCCGATCGCATAACAATCTCAATACGAGTCTACTACGATCGAAACACGACTACACTACGTTGTCACTGCGCTCTAGAATATGGCTCCTGAAGTTCATCAAATAAGTTTTCAATCCAAATGCGTCGTCACCCAAGATTAAGTATGGCATGTTCAGGTCGTCATTAGGTAAGGGATATGACTCTGGAAATCCAATAGTCTTATCTTCCAAACACTCCTTTGATTCCGACACGTTGTAAATCTGGGCGTCCGACATGGAACCATATCATCCTCATCTATCCATAAAAATGTGTAGTCTGCATCCACCAAGGCAAGGATCACTAATGAACAAATCATTGATAGTCATGAAACAAGAATCCGCTTTAAGGCTGGATTCTAATAGCAAAATACGTTCCATCTAGTGTGCCACAAGCGTGTGGCACGTTTCATCTTCTCTCAAAATCCTCGGCAATAGCTCGCCATTCATTTGGTTCGGTTGGACAGGATATGACTTCATCTTTATATTCTTATACAATTGCCTGGCAAACCTCAGGAATAAAAATACATTTAGTATTGCGCGCGACTCTGAAATCGTACTGAAAGGTTGAATACCAGAAGCTAAGTGCCTTACGGTAATAGCAACTTTCACACCGGGATCTAGTGCCTTTCTGAATCGGGTGTCTATCTTCTGAATTCGAGGACTAAGTCTTACTCTAATTCAAAAGTTCATAAACATTTCTGGAGACATCCTTTAAAAAATAAAGAATGGCTGTTGATCCTCAACCATTAATCCTTTCATTAGTCGGTCGTAATGCCCAAACTGGGATCTTGTTGAAAGATAAGGGCTTACCCAACAGGACCTACGCTGTCATTCTCCTTATAACTAAAAGTATAGTCCGATCAGCCAATTCAATACAGTGCAGCTGAATTAATAATTGCAGAAGTAGGTTTTGCTCATGTGTGTGCATGGTTGAACTACAGGTAGAAGTTTTTGAATCTGTTTTTCTGTCAACAGAATGAGGTCGTGCAATTATCGTGGCTAGGACTTAGTACTTAGTATCGTAGCAAAGTCGTTCTAAGGACGATAAGCGCATAGTAGCAGCGTAGTCTTCCTCGTCGTAGTATAATTGTATCAATATCGTAGTAGACGCGTAATAAAGACGTAGTGAAATCGGGATAGTCGTAGTGAAATCGTAGTAAGGTCGCAGCGAAATCTTTTCCATTGGCTTCCCGATTTCACCACAATTTCCAATACGATGCTTCTACACTCATCCCGATCTTACTACGTTCTTACTACGACCTTCCTACGATTCTACTACGACTAGTTTTGGCCATGATCATGAAGACCTTGGCACGTCTTTACTACGACCTTACCACGACCACCACGATCTTACTACGACTTCCAAAATTTTTCATAATTTCCGAGGTCGTAGCGGGATCGTTGTCCTAGTGTGATGGGGGAATAATAACGGAGCAAAGTAAAAACCATTTTTGAGCATATAATCTAAAAGTGCATAAACAAATCTAACGGAACAACTTGAAAAAACTTTTTAGAGCATACAAAAAATAAAACACTGCACAAATAAATATAACAGGGCAAAATGAAAACCATCTGAGCAGAAAAACAAAAATTGCACAAATAATTCTAACTGAGCAAAGCGAAAACCGTTTTAGAGCATACACACTTAAGTCCACAAATAAATCTAACGGAGCAAAGCGAAAACCATTTGATACAATAAAAACCAATAGTGCACAAAATAATCTGACGGAGCAAGGTGAAAACCATTTTAGAGCATACAAACCAAAAGTGTTTAAACAAATCTATCGGAGCATAGTAAATACCCGTGTTAAAGCATACAAACCAAAAGTGCACAAATAAATCTAACGGAGAAAAATGAAAACCATTTTAGAGCATACAAACCAAAAGTAAATAAATCTATTTTTGTTGTTTATTTTTGTTGCCCTATTTATGAATTTTAAATTATGTTAAAATCTTACTTGTCCGATTGATAATTTATGTACAGTTTTAATTTGTACCGACTATTCATATATAAGATATTATTTTGAAAAAATACTTGCCATTTCTGCCACCAAACCGGTTCCTGCTCCTATATCCAATATTTCTATACTTGGTCGAACTGATGGGTCATAAAGTGTTAATGTTGTTTTAGCAGTTATTTCTGGAGCTTTTAAAGTATTCTTTATTTCCTAGAGAATATCATTCATTAATTCTACCTTGTTGTCAAGTAACAGTTATTAAAATGTTGAAGATATTAAAGTAATTAGAAAAGGCTACAGTGACAGATTCAGATTAAATAAAATGGCTTTGCATTTTTTGGCAACTACAGTAGCATCGTTTTCATTATTTAATAAAAATATAAACTTTTGATTATCTGATAGTACGTTAAAACGTTCATTAAAACTTATAGCTTCGTGTATCATGATTTGTCTTAAATCATGAACTTCTTTTCATTCATACCTTCATGTTTATATTTTAAGGGGAGCTACCAAACATGTAAAACGTGCAAAAGCACTTATATAAATATGATTATTTTGAAATATCTAAATAAAATTCAGTACAATACTCATTTTCAAAACAATTTGTAAGTCATCAATTTATCTCCCTCTGTATAAACAGCAACTATTGTACACCAAATTGCCTTTAACTTATTTTAGAATACTAGTAAATCTTTCTCCAGTTAACATCAGCCGGAAAACTACATGTACAAAAGTTAGGACTCATACAAACAATATTAATCGAGTACTAGTATTTGAATTAAATTGAATTTTGCGTTTGTCTCAAAACAAATATTTAGTCACTTTAAAAAAGTTAATAAAACAAAAGTTTCCAAAAATTACGGTGTTTGTGAATCAGTAATCAATAACTGGCCTTTGACCTTAATACATGTAAGTATTCATTATTACAGTTGCAGTGTGACTGGAGAAACACAAGATTGAACTCTTCTTGAACTTAGTGTTACAAAGTCAGTTGTTCTCAGTTAGGTAAACAATTAGAAACACAAGATTGAACTCTTCTTGAACTTAGTGTTACGAAGTCAGTTGTTCTCAGTTAGGTAAACAATTAGAAACACAAGATTGAACTCTTCTTGAACTTAGTGTTACGAAGTCAGTTGTTCTCAGTTAGGTAAACAATTAGAAACACAAGATTGAACTCTTCTTGAACTTAGTGTTACAAAGTCAGTTGTTCTCAGTTAGGTAAACAATTAGAAACACAAGATTGAACTCTTCTTGAACTGAGTGTTACAAAGTCAGTTGTTCTCAGTTAGGTAAACAATTAGAAACACAAGATTGAACTCTTCTTGTACTGAGTGTTACAAAGTCAGTTGTTCTCAGTTAGGTAAACAATTAGAAACACAAGATTGAACTCTTCTTGTACTGAGTGTTACAAAGTCAGTTGTTCTCAGTTAGGTAAACAATTAGAAACACAAGATTGAACTCTTCTTGTACTGAGTGTTACAAAGTCAGTTGTTCTCAGTTAGGTAAACAATTAGAAACACAAGATTGAACTCTTCTTGTACTTAGTGTTACAAAGTCAGTTGTTCTCAGTTAGGTAAACAATTAGAAACACAAGATTGAACTCTTCTTGTACTGAGTGTTACAAAGTCAGTTGTTCTCAGTTAGGTAAACAATTAGAAACACAAGATTGAACTCTTCTTGTACTTAGTGTTACAAAGTCAGTTGTTCTCAGTTAGGTAAACAATTAGAAACACAAGATTGAACTCTTCTTGTACTTAGTGTTACAAAGTCAGTTGTTCTCAGTTAGGTAAACAATTAGAAACACAAGATTGAACTCTTCTTGTACTTAGTGTTACAAAGTCAGTTGTTCTCAGTTAGGTAAACAATTAGAAACACAAGATTGAACTCTTCTTGTACTTAGTGTTACAAAGTCAGTTGTTCTCAGTTAGGTAAACAATTAGAAACACAAGATTGAACTCTACTTGAACTGAGTGTTACAAAGTCAGTTGTTCTCAGTTAGGTAAACAATTAGAAACACAAGATTGAACTCTTCTTGAACTGAGTGTTACAAAGTCAGCTGTTCTCAGTTAGGTAAACAATTAGAAACACAAGATTGAACTCTACTTGAACTGAGTGTTACAAAGTCAGTTGTTCTCAGTTAGGTAAACAATTAGAAACACAAGATTGAACTCTTCTTGTACTTAGTGTTACAAAGTCAGTTGTTCTCAGTTAGGTAAACAATTAGAAACACAAGATTGAACTCTTCTTGAACTGAGTGTTACAAAGTCAGTTGTTCTCAGTTAGGTAAACAATTAGAAACACAAGATTGAACTCTTCTTGTACTTAGTGTTACAAAGTCAGTTGTTCTCAGTTAGGTAAACAATTAGAAACACAAGATTGAACTCTTCTTGTACTTAGTGTTACAAAGTCAGTTGTTCTCAGTTAGGTAAACAATTAGAAACACAAGATTGAACTCTTCTTGTACTGAGTGTTACAAAGTCAGTTGTTCTCAGTTAGGTAAACAATTAGAAACACAAGATTGAACTCTTCTTGTACTTAGTGTTACAAAGTCAGTTGTTCTCAGTTAGGTAAACAATTAGAAACACAAGATTGAACTCTTCTTGTACTTAGTGTTACAAAGTCAGTTGTTCTCAGTTAGGTAAACAATTAGAAACACAAGATTGAACTCTTCTTGTACTTAGTGTTACAAAGTCAGTTGTTCTCAGTTAGGTAAACAATTAGAAACACAAGATTGAACTCTTCTTGTACTTAGTGTTACAAAGTCAGTTGTTCTCAGTTAGGTAAACAATTAGAAACACAAGATTGAACTCTACTTGAACTGAGTGTTACAAAGTCAGTTGTTCTCAGTTAGGTAAACAATTAGAAACACAAGATTGAACTCTTCTTGAACTGAGTGTTACAAAGTCAGCTGTTCTCAGTTAGGTAAACAATTAGAAACACAAGATTGAACTCTACTTGAACTGAGTGTTACAAAGTCAGTTGTTCTCAGTTAGGTAAACAATTAGAAACACAAGATTGAACTCTTCTTGTACTTAGTGTTACAAAGTCAGTTGTTCTCAGTTAGGTAAACAATTAGAAACACAAGATTGAACTCTTCTTGAACTTAGTGTTACAAAGTCAGTTGTTCTCAGTTAGGTAAACAATTAGAAACACAAGATTGAACTCTTCTTGTACTTAGTGTTACAAAGTCAGTTGTTCTCAGTTAGGTAAACAATTAGAAACACAAGATTGAACTCTTCTTGTACTTAGTGTTACAAAGTCAGTTGTTCTCAGTTAGGTAAACAATTAGAAACACAAGATTGAACTCTACTTGAACTGAGTGTTACAAAGTCAGTTGTTCTCAGTTAGGTAAACAATTAGAAACACAAGATTGAACTCTTCTTGAACTGAGTGTTACAAAGTCAGCTGTTCTCAGTTAGGTAAACAATTAGAAACACAAGATTGAACTCTACTTGAACTGAGTGTTACAAAGTCAGTTGTTCTCAGTTAGGTAAACAATTAGAAACACAAGATTGAACTCTTCTTGTACTTAGTGTTACAAAGTCAGTTGTTCTCAGTTAGGTAAACAATTAGAAACACAAGATTGAACTCTACTTGAACTGAGTGTTACAAAGTCAGTTGTTCTCAGTTAGGTAAACAATTAGAAACACAAGATTGAACTCTTCTTGAACTGAGTGTTACAAAGTCAGCTGTTCTCAGTTAGGTAAACAATTAGAAACACAAGATTGAACTCTACTTGAACTGAGTGTTACAAAGTCAGTTGTTCTCAGTTAGGTAAACAATTAGAAACACAAGATTGAACTCTTCTTGAACTGAGTGTTACAAAGTCAGTTGTTCTCAGTTAGGTAAACAATTAGAAACACAAGATTGAACTCTTCTTGTACTGAGTGTTACAATGTCAGTTGTTCTCAGTTAGGTAAACAATTAGAAACACAAGATTGAACTCTTCTTGAACTTAGTGTTACAAAGTCAGTTGTTCTCAGTTAGGTAAACAATTAGAAACACAAGATTGAACTCTACTTGAACTGAGTGTTACAAAGTCAGTTGTTCTCAGTTAGGTAAACAATTAGAAACACAAGATTGAACTCTTCTTGAACTAAGTGTTACAAAGTCAGTTGTTCTCAGTTAGGTAAACAATTAGAAACACAAGATTGAACTCTTCTTGAACTTAGTGTTACAAAGTCAGGTGTTCTCAGTTAGGTAAACAATTAGAAACACAAGATTGAACTCTTCTTGAACTTAGTGTTACAAAGTCAGTTGTTCTCAGTTAGGTAAACAATTAGAAACACAAGATTGAACTCTACTTGAACTGAGTGTTACAAAGTCAGTTGTTCTCAGTTAGGTAAACAATTAGAAACACAAGATTGAACTCTTCTTGAACTGAGTGTTACAAAGTCAGTTGTTCTCAGTTAGGTAAACAATTAGAAACACAAGATTGAACTCTTCTTGTACTGAGTGTTACAAAGTCAGTTGTTCTCAGTTAGGTAAACAATTAGAAACACAAGATTGAACTCTTCTTGAACTTAGTGTTACAAAGTCAGTTGTTCTCAGTTAGGTAAACAATTAGAAACACAAGATTGAACTCTTCTTGAACTTAGTGTTACAAAGTCAGTTGTTCTCAGTTAGGTAAACAATTAGAAACACAAGATTGAACTCTTCTTGAACTTAGTGTTACAAAGTCAGTTGTTCTCAGTTAGGTAAACAATTAGAAACACAAGATTGAACTCTTCTTGAACTTAGTGTTACAAAGTCAGTTGTTCTCAGTTAGGTAAACAATTAGAAACACAAGATTGAACTCTACTTGAACTGAGTGTTACAAAGTCAGTTGTTCTCAGTTAGGTAAACAATTAGAAACACAAGATTGAACTCTTCTTGAACTAAGTGTTACAAAGTCAGTTGTTCTCAGTTAGGTAAACAATTAGAAACACAAGATTGAACTCTTCTTGAACTTAGTGTTACAAAGTCAGGTGTTCTCAGTTAGGTAAACAATTAGAAACACAAGATTGAACTCTTCTTGAACTTAGTGTTACAAAGTCAGTTGTTCTCAGTTAGGTAAACAATTAGAAACACAAGATTGAACTCTACTTGAACTGAGTGTTACAAAGTCAGTTGTTCTCAGTTAGGTAAACAATTAGAAACACAAGATTGAACTCTTCTTGAACTGAGTGTTACAAAGTCAGTTGTTCTCAGTTAGGTAAACAATTAGAAACACAAGATTGAACTCTTCTTGTACTGAGTGTTACAAAGTCAGTTGTTCTCAGTTAGGTAAACAATTAGAAACACAAGATTGAACTCTTCTTGAACTTAGTGTTACAAAGTCAGTTGTTCTCAGTTAGGTAAACAATTAGAAACACAAGATTGAACTCTTCTTGAACTTAGTGTTACAAAGTCAGTTGTTCTCAGTTAGGTAAACAATTAGAAACACAAGATTGAACTCTTCTTGAACTTAGTGTTACAAAGTCAGTTGTTCTCAGTTAGGTAAACAATTAGAAACACAAGATTGAACTCTTCTTGAACTTAGTGTTACAAAGTCAGGTGTTCTCAGTTAGGTAAACAATTAGAAACACAAGATTGAACTCTTCTTGAACTTAGTGTTACAAAGTCAGGTGTTCTCAGTTAGGTAAACAATTAGAAACACAAGATTGAACTCTTCTTGAACTTAGTGTTACAAAGTCAGGTGTTCTCAGTTAGGTAAACAATTAGAACCACAAGATTGAACTCTTCTTGAACTGAGTGTTACAAAGTCAGGTGTTCTCAGTTAGGTAAACAATTAGAACCACAAGATTGAACTCTTCTTGTACTTAGTGTTACAAAGTCAGTTGTTCTCAGTTAGGTAAACAATTAGAAACACAAGATTGAACTCTTCTTGCACTTAGTGTTACAAAGTCAGTTGTTCTCAGTTAGGTAAACAATTAGAAACACAAGATTGAACTCTTCTTGAACTTAGTGTTACAAAGTCAGTTGTTCTCAGTTAGGTAAACAATTAGAAACACAAGATTGAACTCTTCTTGAACTGAGTGTTACAAAGTCAGTTGTTCTCAGTTAGGTAAACAATTAGAAACACAAGATTGAACTCTTCTTGAACTGAGTGTTACAAAGTCAGTTGTTCTCAGTTAGGTAAACAATTAGAAACACAAGATTGAACTCTTCTTGAACTGAGTGTTACAAAGTCAGTTGTTCTCAGTTAGGTAAACAATTAGAAACACAAGATTGAACTCTTCTTGAACTTAGTGTTACAAAGTCAGTTGTTCTCAGTTAGGTAAACAATTAGAAACACAAGATTGAACTCTTCTTGAACTTAGTGTTACAAAGTCAGTTGTTCTCAGTTAGGTAAACAATTAGAAACACAAGATTGAACTCTTCTTGAACTGAGTGTTACAAAGTCAGTTGTTCTCAGTTAGGTAAACAATTAGAAACACAAGATTGAACTCTTCTTGAACTGAGTGTTACAAAGTCAGTTGTTCTCAGTTAGGTAAACAATTAGAAACACAAGATTGAACTCTTCTTGAACTGAGTGTTACAAAGTCAGTTGTTCTCAGTTAGGTAAACAATTAGAAACACAAGATTGAACTCTTCTTGAACTGAGTGTTACAAAGTCAGTTGTTCTCAGTTAGGTAAACAATTAGAAACACAAGATTGAACTCTTCTTGAACTGAGTGTTACAAAGTCAGTTGTTCTCAGTTAGGTAAACAATTAGAAACACAAGATTGAACTCTTCTTGAACTGAGTGTTACAAAGTCAGTTGTTCTCAGTTAGGTAAACAATTAGAAACACAAGATTGAACTCTTCTTGAACTGAGTGTTACAAAGTCAGTTGTTCTCAGTTAGGTAAACAATTAGAAACACAAGATTGAACTCTTCTTGAACTGAGTGTTACGAAGTCAGTTGTTCTCAGTTAGGTAAACAATTAGAAACACAAGATTGAACTCTTCTTGTACTGAGTGTTACGAAGTCAGGTGTTCTCAGTTAGGTAAACAATTAGAAACACAAGATTGAACTCTTCTTGAACTTAGTGTTACAAAGTCAGTTGTTCTCAGTTAGGTAAACAATTAGAAACACAAGATTGAACTCTACTTGAACTGAGTGTTACAAAGTCAGTTGTTCTCAGTTAGGTAAACAATTAGAAACACAAGATTGAACTCTACTTGAACTGAGTGTTACAAAGTCAGTTGTTCTCAGTTAGGTAAACAATTAGAAACACAAGATTGAACTCTTCTTGAACTAAGTGTTACAAAGTCAGTTGTTCTCAGTTAGGTAAACAATTAGAAACACAAGATTGAACTCTTCTTGAACTTAGTGTTACAAAGTCAGTTGTTCTCAGTTAGGTAAACAATTAGAAACACAAGATTGAACTCTTCTTGAACTTAGTGTTACAAAGTCAGTTGTTCTCAGTTAGGTAAACAATTAGAAACACAAGATTGAACTCTTCTTGAACTTAGTGTTACAAAGTCAGTTGTTCTCAGTTAGGTAAACAATTAGAAACACAAGATTGAACTCTACTTGAACTGAGTGTTACAAAGTCAGTTGTTCTCAGTTAGGTAAACAATTAGAAACACAAGATTGAACTCTTCTTGAACTGAGTGTTACAAAGTCAGTTGTTCTCAGTTAGGTAAACAATTAGAAACACAAGATTGAACTCTTCTTGTACTGAGTGTTACAAAGTCAGTTGTTCTCAGTTAGGTAAACAATTAGAAACACAAGATTGAACTCTTCTTGAACTTAGTGTTACAAAGTCAGTTGTTCTCAGTTAGGTAAACAATTAGAAACACAAGATTGAACTCTTCTTGAACTTAGTGTTACAAAGTCAGTTGTTCTCAGTTAGGTAAACAATTAGAAACACAAGATTGAACTCTTCTTGAACTTAGTGTTACAAAGTCAGTTGTTCTCAGTTAGGTAAACAATTAGAAACACAAGATTGAACTCTTCTTGAACTTAGTGTTACAAAGTCAGTTGTTCTCAGTTAGGTAAACAATTAGAAACACAAGATTGAACTCTTCTTGAACTTAGTGTTACAAAGTCAGGTGTTCTCAGTTAGGTAAACAATTAGAAACACAAGATTGAACTCTTCTTGAACTTAGTGTTACAAAGTCAGGTGTTCTCAGTTAGGTAAACAATTAGAAACACAAGATTGAACTCTTCTTGAACTTAGTGTTACAAAGTCAGGTGTTCTCAGTTAGGTAAACAATTAGAACCACAAGATTGAACTCTTCTTGAACTGAGTGTTACAAAGTCAGGTGTTCTCAGTTAGGTAAACAATTAGAAACACAAGATTGAACTCTTCTTGTACTTAGTGTTACAAAGTCAGTTGTTCTCAGTTAGGTAAACAATTAGAAACACAAGATTGAACTCTTCTTGCACTTAGTGTTACAAAGTCAGTTGTTCTCAGTTAGGTAAACAATTAGAAACACAAGATTGAACTCTTCTTGAACTTAGTGTTACAAAGTCAGTTGTTCTCAGTTAGGTAAACAATTAGAAACACAAGATTGAACTCTTCTTGAACTTAGTGTTACAAAGTCAGTTGTTCTCAGTTAGGTAAACAATTAGAAACACAAGATTGAACTCTTCTTGAACTGAGTGTTACAAAGTCAGTTGTTCTCAGTTAGGTAAACAATTAGAAACACAAGATTGAACTCTTCTTGAACTGAGTGTTACAAAGTCAGTTGTTCTCAGTTAGGTAAACAATTAGAAACACAAGATTGAACTCTTCTTGAACTGAGTGTTACAAAGTCAGTTGTTCTCAGTTAGGTAAACAATTAGAAACACAAGATTGAACTCTTCTTGAACTGAGTGTTACAAAGTCAGTTGTTCTCAGTTAGGTAAACAATTAGAAACACAAGATTGAACTCTTCTTGAACTGAGTGTTACAAAGTCAGTTGTTCTCAGTTAGGTAAACAATTAGAAACACAAGATTGAACTCTTCTTGAACTGAGTGTTACAAAGTCAGTTGTTCTCAGTTAGGTAAACAATTAGAAACACAAGATTGAACTCTTCTTGAACTGAGTGTTACAAAGTCAGTTGTTCTCAGTTAGGTAAACAATTAGAAACACAAGATTGAACTCTTCTTGAACTGAGTGTTACAAAGTCAGTTGTTCTCAGTTAGGTAAACAATTAGAAACACAAGATTGAACTCTTCTTGAACTGAGTGTTACAAAGTCAGTTGTTCTCAGTTAGGTAAACAATTAGAAACACAAGATTGAACTCGGTAAACAATTAGAAACACAAGATTGAACTCTTCTTGAACTTAGTGTTACGAAGTCAGTTGTTCTCAGTTAGGTAAACAATTAGAAACACAAGATTGAACTCTTCTTGAACTTAGTGTTACGAAGTCAGTTGTTCTCAGTTAGGTAAACAATTAGAAACACAAGATTGAACTCTTCTTGTACTGAGTGTTACGAAGTCAGGTGTTCTCAGTTAGGTAAACAATTAGAAACACAAGATTGAACTCTTCTTGAACTTAGTGTTACAAAGTCAGTTGTTCTCAGTTAGGTAAACAATTAGAAACACAAAATTGAACTCTTCTTGAACTTAGTGTTACGAAGTCAGTTGTTCTCAGTTAGGTAAACAATTAGAAACACAAGATTGAACTCTTCTTGTACTGAGTGTTGTTCTCAGTTAGGTAAACAATTAGAAACACAAGATTGAACTCTTCTTGAACTTAGTGTTACGAAGTCAGTTGTTCTCAGTTAGGTAAACAATTAGAAACACAAGATTGAACTCTTCTTGTACTTAGTGTTACAAAGTCAGTTGTTCTCAGTTAGGTAAACAATTAGAAACACAAGATTGAACTCTTCTTGAACTTAGTGTTACAAAGTCAGTTGTTCTCAGTTAGGTAAACAATTAGAAACACAAGATTGAACTCTTCTTGTACTGAGTGTTACAAAGTCAGGTGTTCTCAGTTAGGTAAACAATTTAGAACCACAAATATAGATTTTTTAAAATTATCTGTTTAATCGTGCAATTTTAGAGAAATTAACTAACATTGCATATACTAAGTCTAACCTCATCGTATCTTCCATGTTCCGCCCATCTGTCGTAGTAATCAGCAACTTGTTCCAAAGACAAGTTTTTGTTAAACAAGTGAGTCTCGTGATTGATGTACTCTTTGTCTGAATGAATATAAAAAAAACTTGAATTATCATTTACTGTAGCATCAAAAGCTGCAAAGCAACTGCTTTTCTGCCAAATGATCATTGTAAATCGGACATTTGTTTTCCAATTTAAGTACTATTTACTAGTATAGTAAAGTTAAGTACGTAAACAGTTTAACTTCACCCTATTACTGTCTATCGGTACGGTATCGTTAGATGCAATCGGTAACACAGATCCGACGAATGATTTTTTGAATGACGGGTAGATCATTATATTCGCATTTTCTCTTGTTGATAGAACTTCTATGACAATGTATTTTTATAATTCACGTATTGTTAATACAAAAGACACAAGAGAATTTCGTCAATGATTTCTATTAATGTTCTTGAAATAAATGTAGGCCATATACAACTTTCTTTAGAAGAAGAAACATTTCTGTTGTTTAATTACTGTTATATACAAGAGTGAATTGGTCAGTCACCATGTTTCTTCTGTCGTGAACAGCAGATCTCGCAATCAATGCGTCAGATCTTGACAACCATAAACAGTAGTAATACAGAGTGTCAAGTGTCTATGGAGATGTGGAATAGGACAACTATTCAACAGAGTGCAAATGAAGTAAACAACTATCGGTCACCGTGTGACCTTCAACAATGATGCAAAAATGTGAAATAATTCCAACAACAATAAAAATAACATAATAAACCAAAAATAAATATGGCACAAAGCAACAAACGACAACCACAGTACATTGTAAATGCATTAAAGGCTTCTGACTTGAGACAGGCACATGGCACATATAGAATGTGGCGGGGATAAACATGTTTGTGCTTGCTCAACCCTCACCCTAACCTTGGACCGTAGTGTAACAGCACAACATAAAAAAAACCGTAAAATTCAGTTTGAAATTGCTTGAATAATCAGATCGACACAAGGCATACACAAAAAAACCCAACTAACCTAACATAAAGACAAAAAGACACAAAGCACCAATCTAAGAGTACTCGAAGTTACTGAAAGCTAGATCAAAGCCAATAACAACTAATAAATAAATCATGTTGCCTAAAACAGTATCAATCAGTGCACATCCGATTAAGTGTAAAGACGTAAAAACAGGCTGACAAAATACATGACCTGACCTTGTTAACGGCTAAAATATAAGTATATAAATAAATATCGACATGATATAGGACCATACAATTTCACAAATGTATAGGAAAACATATTTATTCATGTTTAGATCTATTAAAAACAAAATCTATGTAAGTACCAATAAAACAATAACCAAAGATCTTACTACGGTGTTAAATTGGTATCCTTTCAGAATAAGTTTATTTAACCGATCAATGAGTTAACATGGGTCGTATCTAAATGTACGGCTTTCTAAATCAACTTTACCGCTAAAACTATGATGTGATATGTCTACAAAGAATTTAATTTTCTGTTCCTTTCAGTGTATTGAATGCTATAAATAAGGGGGCAGACTGGGGGTTAATTGAAACTATTCAAACACTTAACTATAGGTACTGCGAGAAAAATTCACAAAATAATACCCTGCCAAAACATTAAATAATCGCAAGGTCTATAATTTGCTCTGGGAATCTCCAAAAATGATTTAGATAAAAAATTAGTTTGTACACTATGGCATTGTAAGTTGAAGATGTTGAGAAAGATTCGAAAAATTCTACTAATGTGTTTATAGGAGAGATCGCAGATACAATATAGTACATCATAGGAAATTCATGATTTTGTAAACACCCCAAAATTTGGACCACGAAGAAAAAATGGTACTATATGGTTAAAATTAAGAAAAATTCATTAAATTCTGATTAGGGATTTAGAAGAAGAAACGCATACAAAGATGTACTGTAGTGTGCAGATATGAAAAAGTAATTTTCATGCTTAAGAAACCCCTCAAAATCATTCGAATGAAGAAATGAAGTAGAATATACAAAAGTACATCATGTGAGTAAGGCTTTCTGAACGATTCATAAAAATCTTGTCTAGCATATCAGAAGTAGTTACGATTACAAAAGTCGAATAATGTGAGAAATAAGAAGATGGTATGGGAGAGGAAAAACCATATCCTGACTGATTGGCAGTGATGTTCATTCATAGGAACTTAGTACTCGATGCACCATGTTGAACACCATCATTATTTAGCCAGAATGAGTTTCTCTCATCGTCACAGAATAATGTGTACAGATCGAGCGCCATGTCTTTCTGTGGACCTTAAGCAGTTATGATTTAGCTCGTTACAAATCCGACTCATCGTGTCAGTTTAGTACAAAGCATGGTTCGTATTCAGTTCTCGATAAAATGTTATCCTGATATACATGATATATTGACCACTGGACGTTAAAACCCAACCAATCATCACCATCATTATTTACTTAAATGTCCAGAAATGTGGTATAATGTTGTAACAACCTCAAAGTACACTAATAAAGCTGTTTCAATGTATATTTCTAATTATTAGGTATATTTTTGTAAAAAATTAGAATTATGACATTAAAGGGAAGTTCGCTTTACCATGTCTACCTCTTTTAAGGTTCATGTGGACCCATTGGCTGAAATGGCTGCGTTTTCACCTCGAAATTTACTCTGAGTATAGACAAACTTGTACATCTGGAAATGTTTTAAAGCATAGCATGTCCTAGATAAACAAAATTCAAATGCATTGTATGTTTTAGAAAATTTTAAACTTAACTGGATTTTGCAGTGCACTTTTTTTCGTCCCTGCAGAAGATGATAAAATTAACAAACAGTTAAGTTTCACTTGATATGGTCCACTCCGGTACACAGTTTAAATCACCAATTATTGTCAGGTATCTTTTGTTCATCTATTGTCCATGTCAATCAATAAGTTCACTTCAATTATTACCTGTGGGGAAATTCTCAAACCTCTTTCCCAACTAAGTTTATTTCGGCACCTTCTGGAGGAATGAAAAAAGTGCACGGCAAAATCCTGTTAAGTTTTTAATTTTCTAAAACATAAATTATATTTGAAATTTATTTATCTAGGGGATGCTACAAATGTATGCCTTCAAACTTTTCCGGATACACATGTTTGTCTATACTCATAAATATTTAGGTGAAAATGCAGATATTTTAGCCAAAGGGTCCACATGAACCTTAAACTTCTATTGTTAGGCCAAATTTTCCACACTGTTGAACACCGTTGCTACAGAATTTAATATATATTACGTTTGTATGATTGTGTTAATGTGTACATCTCATCAACATGCATGATATATACATCACTTACAATTGTCGTACTGATTATACTGGTTTAGAGTAAATGAAAAACAAATCAACCGTGTTTTATAGTTGTTCTGTCATCCATGCGAAAATGTACACGTAAAACATCATTTAAATCTAAAGGATTATCCAACAAATATCACAAGGATTACGGATACCGCAAAATACCTTACACCTATACATTTTAAATTTCCTTAATGACAGATTTTAACTCCACATTTTTCACAGTTCTTTATGGTATCACAGACATATAATGAATGTCTCTTTAATGGTATACCTAAAAATCTTAAAATGGCAAACCAGTTTTAAATCTATCAAATAGTAATATTATATGCATCAAATTGTACATATGTACAAGGAGATATGTGATCAATGAGGCAACATAATAGCGACATACGAACTAGAAAAAGACACCTTGATGTGTTCCTTATAGTTGTTATATTTACTTACCATTCATTGTAGGTACAGCAGCTCTTTTCACAAAAAATCTTAAGAGTGAAATTACTCGTAAGTCATACACATTTCAGTATAACTTACGATCAATTTTAATCGTAAGATTTTTTGTGAAAAGAGTCGCTGGAACGTAAACAATGTCGAACTGTTCACGTATAACTGATGTCCAAAATCTGGTGTAATCCTTTATCAATTGAACAACATTATATAGGTAATATGCTATAACAGTCACTCAATAAAATATGCAGTAAAAAAAAATATGCAGTAACACGATGACAGGTGCAGATTATGGTATATTAATAGATAGAAGTTCACTAAATAAAATCAGATGTGCTCCCTGTATTAGAGGAAGAACAAATTTCGGTGATGGGAAATGTTTTCGATAAAAATAGATATGAGAGTAAAAAAAAAAATAGCCAGTGATTTTTAACCGGATTTTCAAAGGAAAATTTCGGTTATTAATTTGGTGATGTACGTCGGGCGGGCAGCCGGGCGGGCGATTGCCAAACAGTGTCCGTGCAATAACTTGAAAACGCTTTGACGAAATCTTTTCAAATTTAGATATGTTGCTTCCTGTGACTTGATTAAGGTCAAATTCGATTTTCACGATTTTGCCTTTTATCGTTGAGTTGTAGAACTTTAAGTAGCGAAAAGTGATACTTAGACCGTTGTGCGTGCAATAACTTGAAAACACTTTGACGAAATCTTTTCAAATTCAATTTACTGTTTCCTGTGACTAAAAGAAGTCAAGTTCGAATTTCACGATTTAAGCTTTTATTGTTGATGAGGTGTAAGTAATAGTTATCCCATGAGGACGCGGTTGTCAGTGTAAGATCACCCCGATGGCCGGAGGCCAGAGGGTGATCTTACACTGACACATCAAGTCCGAATGGGATAACTATTTTACATCCCAGCTGTTCTAGATTAGATAAAAACCCATTTACGCTTCATAAAATCTAGTTCAGAACGCCACACAATCATTATAATATACTTTATATATTACTATATAGTATATACACTTTATGAGCCCCGAACACAATGTTAAGATATGTTTAATTAACAGAGAGTTTGTACCTAGTCGTCCTGGTGTAGGGGTATGACTCGTAGGTCTATATTTCAAAGGTCTTGAGTTCGAATCCCAGCATAGATACTGGATATTTTCTACACAAATTTTTATAGTAATTCTTTTCCGTATAAATATTTCTAAGTTTTATTGTGAATTTGACATTCCCGCCAAAATGTTACAGAACAAAGGAAAGCATGCAGAACAAAGAAGCTCAAGCTGGGGTGATCTGGCAGGGCTCAGATCACCCCTGGAAGAACAAAGGAGCTGGGATGTAAACCTTTAAGTATCGTAAAGTGATACTCAGAGTGTTGCCCATGCGATAACTTGAAAAGGCCTAGATGAAATAAATCTTGTGATACTTTGAAGAAACATGACAACAAACGTTTTAAAGTAGGTTTCTGGAAAGTTATTTGAGTGACCACAAGATTCTATGGTTTAATATTAAATAAGGTTATAATCTCATAAACAGATTTCTTTCATTATTGACTTCATGATTTCTGCCTACCCACCCATGCTGACCAAATGTGTGTGTACTAATATACTCTCTTAAATTCCAATATTATGTCACTTATAATAAATAGGTCAAGATTGATTTTGGCCTTTCCATTTCTGAACCCTACAAAAATTCATATATATATATATTTTTTACTTGATCCTGTTTGGGGGTGCAGATTTGCAAATATCATTTTCATGCAGGAAAATCCGGTTTGCTCTCAATCTGACAGCCTCTTTTCTATTAATCTAGTTTGGGTTCAATCTAGTTTGGTTTACTTATTATAGAAATAGTTTGAGGGGGTATACATGCATGCCTTAGATACTCCCATTTATCCTCTGTGCAAAATGATAGACATGAAAAAGATAATAATTGAAATCCTTCATTTTATATAGAAAGTACAAAGAAAACCAACTTAGCTGGTGTCGCATGTGGAGCAAGATCTGCTTACTCTTCCGAAGCACCTGAGATCACCCCCGGGTTTTGGTGGGGTTCGTGTTGCTCAGTCTTTAGTAAACTGTTTGTCTTTGAAGGTCGTTTTAATTTTTTTTCAATGGTATTGTCAGTTTGTTAACGACTTATGAGTTTGAATATACATTTGGTATCTTCCGCTTCTTTTTTTAAGATTGGAGAAGACTTCGTTAGTTCAAATCTTGTGTCTTATCTGTCACGTTTTTGTTGTTTTGACAATGAAATATGCTTACAGTATAGACACACAGCAATTGGTTACTGTGCTAAAAGAAAGAGGTCATTTTGGCACCACAATATATTGATTTCTATTATATATTCGATTAGAATTTCTTTATAGAATCTTTTTATACTACAATATGAATAAAGGCGTATTAATGCATTTGTGCGATAATTTCGTTTAAAAGCAGGTGTCTAGTTTTTAAATAATTGTTATTAACCGTTACAGTCAATTCTTGTGTTCTCTTCGCTGTCTGCCTTGCAATATTGATTCCAGTGAAGTAAATTTGACTGAGAATTATAAAAATAAACATTTCAGGTTGAACATCAAACTGTTGGATAAAAATAATATACGTTAAATGTAGAAAAAGAAAATAGCTTATTTATACTGGTTTCGGAACAGGAATAATTTTATAGGGACCATTTCCCATTACGCATGAAATGACGTAATTTTTTTTCATCTTATTCTGTAAATTTTTGTTAACTCTTCTCCAAATATTTTCTTCTTTTAATACATCTTGAGTGTCCTGACTTTTTGTCAGAATATACATGTTTTTTTTTTATTTTTTAAATTTCAAAGCATGTGCGAATACAATTTACATTTTGCGACATGTCGAAGAAGTCCTGTAATATTTTCATTACACACTTATACGGAATCAAAAGCTCAAATTCATATTATATGTTTTGGGAGATACTAAATGGGCTTCCGTAGTGTTGCTTACTTTCGGGTTAACAGTTATACTTCTTTTACTTGGTTGAGTTGAATTCGTTTCAAAGGTGGAGATAGAATTCAAGTTTGGGTCCTTTCAGCACTGATTCCTGAAAAATGTTTAACCTGTAATACAGAATACAGAAAAGAATGAAGAGACAAACAACAATAAGAAAAATCTTCACAGAAAGATAAAGATTGTGCAACCCGTCAAAAACATGTACACATAATGTCGGTGCATGTTGAAAAGATAGTGCGCAAATCTCTCATTGTTTTGACTGCCAAACATGTGACTTCATAGATCGAAAAGGCCCCGCCTGTCTTGGACTGAAAGTATTGTTTGTGTCGAATTATCGTCTTTGCTTTAAAGAATAATTCTAAATTAATATATTTTAAAATTTATTCTTAAAGTAGTTTCCTCAATCTTCTAATCACTTTAGACGAAAAATGAATCTTGGAATTTCTCAAAATCAAGAATTTTACACTATGAAATGCTCAGTTTCATAGAGCCTAATTTGCTCCGGATGTCCGAGTATCCGTCTCCTCCACGATTACGGCTAAGCTACTGCCATGATGACATTAAGCTTAAAACGCAAATGAAAAAGAAAATATCTTAATCATGTAGTGCTTAGCTTCGAACGATTAAGGAAAAGAGGACGGGATTGTGATAACCTATCAATGGTCATCTGTGACACAAACAATACACAGATGACCATTGATAGGTTATCACAATCCCGTCCTCTTTTCCTTAATTGTAACACCACCGAATGCGAATTATCTCTGTATATTTACTTGTAGTGAGTAATTGGGCGCCACTTTTCGAGCAGGAATGTCCTGCCCTTCTGGACAACTTAAAGTTTATTTAACCTTAGCAAGCTTTGATCCTGCTTTCCAAGTTATGCGCCATTCTATGTGTTCTTGTTTAAGTTAATGGTCATCCTATTTCAACTGTGAAGTGTTTTATTGTGTGTTTTAGTCACATAGGACATATGTTGTTAATACGCAAAGAGGGTGTACATAAAACTGGTTTAACTCCCACGTATTTCGTGCCTATACGATATCACGCTATCTGGAGCAAGTGTTGTACGTTGTTGTTTGTCTTTCTTTGTACACTGTTTTTTTAGGAGACGGGTGTTGTTGTTGATGTTGTACTGTTCATTAATTTTGGTAATTCCTGTTATCCTTTAAGTGTATTATTTATGAGCTCCAAAGCGCTCTCAGTTAACTCTATATACTCAAACTGAGAGAGTCTAGATTTTGCAGGTTGTTCTCGCATAATCATGTAAGCTCTTGTATTACATGCATACACTTATTTTGCGTTTATTTACAACTGTTTTTGTATGCACTTTTGAAAATAAAATTCTCCCGACCTTAGAAATTACCGTACTAGAAAAAAGTAAAATAACAAAAATACTGAACTCCAAGGAAAATTCAAAACGGAAAGTCCCCTATCAAATGGCAAAATCAAAAGCTCAATCACATCAAACGAATGGAAGACAACTGTCATATTCATGACTTGGTACAGGCATTTCCTTATGTAGAAAATGGTGGGTTAAACCTGGTTTTAACGTCACATATATTCATATTAGGTACTTAGATACAAATATATAACTAATTGTGTATGATGGTTGTGTTATCTGTAAATATTCATCCCCACCCTGACCCTTTCTGTTCGTTTAATAAACAACTACTGATAATAGTAATAAATCCGCCTTTTACCCCAATACTTTTCAAAGGCAATGAGATTGCCTCCCTATTCGAAGTCAAAATTTAAACTGGCAGAAAGAGTATAGATCGATTTGTAAAAAAAATAGCCATAAAACACAGGACTATCTTTTCATCAAATGCACTCATTTTGAGAGGGTTCATATGACATTGACCTTATTTTCTTAGCGATCTTTTTCGTAAATATCATAAGCAACAGGTCAACTATAGTCTACATAACGTATATTGAATGATTGTAAGGGGTACATTCTGTCTTGCATGATATATCTGACCTTGACCTTAGTTTCGTGGTTCATTGGTCAATGTTTAGTTTTCGTGGATAGGTCCTTTTTTCAGATACTGTAAGCAATTATATGTAAACTGCATTTTGGAATAGAATGACTGTAAGGAGTACATATAAAAAGAAGATGTGGTATGATTGCCAATGAGACAACTCTCCACAAGAGACCAAATGACACAGAAATTAACAACTATAGGTCACCGTATGGCCTTCAACAATGAGCAAAATCATACCGCATAGTCAGCTATTAAAGGCCCCGAAATGACAAATGTAAAACAATTCAAACAAGAAAACT